TTTGATATCAATGCATGAGACGATGGCCGTCAGAAACAGAAGTAGTAACCGCAGACTTTCCAGCTTGTATTTAAGTTGACGGTGAAGATTTATGTGGTGATCTGTTCACATCAGGAGAAATGTTGTCTGAAAACAATAGATTGGAGACATACAACATGAGAACCCACGCAGGGATAAAAAAAAAGTGCTTTATGAAGAGACCAGTCTGCCTGTAAAATACTAGTATCAAATGACTGCTTGTAACCAAAATTGTAATTCATAATTTTAAAACTCTACTCAGTTCTGGACAGCATTGTTACTTTGACATGAAAAGAAATGCATGGCCAAGTTGCCCCCAACAACTCCCACCAGAATAGCGCACTTTATATTAATGAAATTTTAAAGCATCATTCCAAGGTGTCGCCTTTCATGCTGCTCACACTCTCTTTGTCCATCTAAAGTAAACCTGTTCCAGCTGAAGCTAATAATTGTTGCTAAATATGCGAGTGGACTGTTTACGACTGTTTAAGACGTATTGTGCTAACAGTGGACAGATATACAGTAAAACCTACTGTAAAAGAAAGCATTGCATTGCTCTGGTTGAGGCTTTCCTAATATCACTCTACAACTAATTACATTAAGAGAAATTATCTGAGGTTCTAGGTTGGTAATAAATGCAGTACACTCGCTCAGAGATAATGTAAATTAACCTCCATGTTCAAAGCAAAGAGGGGAGTTTTAAGCAACACATTTGAGTGCATTCTCCTCATAAAAGATGTTTGCCCGATCGATTAGCTATACGTGGTGATTGAGCATCGCCCTTTTTAATGCCATCCTGGGCAACCGCCCATATGGCCAAACATATTAGAAGCCACCACTCCTTGAGCTATGCAGCAGTGTTTTTAACTGCGTTTAGAAATTTTACAAAATATTCCTGGAAAAAATTCCATGTCCTTTTTACATCTGTGTGTCATCATAGATATATGGTGCTCACATCCTGCTTCTACAAGAGGAGGATATAAAAGCTTTTTTGGGATCAAAATAATGTATTACTATGGAAAACAATGCAATGGCTGATTATGATTGATTTATATTTCATACTTTTAATATTTATGATTTAATGAACCTGTAATACAATGATATTTGCCATTTACAAATCAGGGCACCTCTGATGTTAGCCCACTGAAATTACTGTATGACTGGCTCAGCGCTTGGACTAATAAAAAAAAAATCTAACAAGAATGTGTTTGCTTCTCAAACAGAGTAATACTTCAGAGTAAGAGTTACTTCAGACACCCTGAGGCAGCTCAGCACAGAAACACAGTTCTAACACATCACAGATCCAACTCTCCCTCCAGAGACCCAGTGGCTAAATGAGAACACATGACTCCTCATTTACATCCTCCATTTGGCTCTCTGTAATCATAAAGCTTAATATAAGATAATGAAAAGCAGCAGCTCTGCTCTGATGTCGTTTTAAGATTATAAAAAGTCCGATGCGTGAATTGTTGCATGTGCATGCATTATGACACGTGTGAGGCTGCTGCAGTGCTGGGAGAAAGCCAGAGCTGCTTTGTCATTGAAAACAGCAAGTTGTGACACCCTAGCTCTTCCTCCTCCTTTTCTTGTTGTGTGCCTTTTTTCTGCACGTTCATGGGCGTCCTCAAAGCATCAAACTGTCTTCAATTTTTATTATTGTTCAATAGGAATAGATGTCATCTGCAACACAATTTGGTCAGCCAGCAAAAAAAAAAAAAAAAATATATATATATATATATATATATATATATATATATATATATATATATATATATATATATATATATATATATATATATATCATTACAGAAACATAGGCCTGTCATTACAGCAATTTTGCTGGCCAATAAATTGTCCCAGAAATTGTTGTGATAAAAATAATGTTTTGAAAGCATTTTCAAGTAATACAATGACAATGTCATAATAATACAACTTCACCCTCTCAAAGATAAATCTACCTTAATTGTGTAAATAAGCCATAACACTGGCGCTGGAAGATATTTTAAATATCCCAAAAAAAGTAAATAAATAACTAAAATGACCAAGAATAATAACATGAAAATGGAAATAAAAACCACACACAACTAAAATCATAAATGAAATTGATTACGAGGTAGAAAATGTAAATTATTGAAATGGAAATGATCAAACTCACTTCAATTTATCATGGGATTAACTGATGTCTTACTGATATAGATGTAGACACTCCTTCTTGACTTCAGATATTAGTGTTGTCCTTTGTTCTATCAACGTCGCTCTTTATTATAATCATAACCAATAAAACCTAAACAATTCTGATTGTTCACTTTCAATATAGAGACACATTTAGTGGAGATAAACACAGTAATGGGAAACATACAGTGATCAGGCGTAACTTCATAACCACTGACAGGTAAAGTAAATATTCCCAATGATCCTTCATCATGAGGAGATAATTATATGTCCATATGAGACAACAAGTAAACATTTGCCTTTAGAATTGATGTTAAAAACAAATGGCCAAACATAAGGAGTTGGGTGAGTTTGGCAGGGGCCAAAATGTGATGGAGCCAATGACTGGGTCAGAGCATCTCTAAATCTGCAGCTCTTGTTGGGTGTTTTCCCAGTCAGCCATGGCCAGTATCTGTCTGTCTGTTTTCCACGGAAGGAATTGATGAATTGGCAGCCAAGACTCACTGATGCACTGGGGGCGTGAAAGCTGGCCCGCTCCGCCAGACAAGCTGCTGCAGCTAAAACTGCAATAAAGGTTAATGCTGTTTCTGACAGAAAGGTGTCAGAACGTACTGTGCATTTCAATGTGTTACAGACCAATTAAGGCTACACATGGCCACAATTTTATTTCTTGGTCTGTTTATATACGACTTGTTGTAAAACACAGACGACACTGAAACTTCATCTGCACTTGAATGTGTCCGTTTTGGAGCAGAGTGAAAAATCTTTTGGTCAGCAACCTTCGTAACACTGTAGACGGCAACAACGGTGTTCAAGCAGTTTCCAGTTTATGACAGATTGGATCCTTAGTGGTTTCTCAGCATCCGAACCAATTTCCTGACATCCGAGGGGGACGTTTGGGTCATGTTGTTAAAACTTACACAGACGCTGGTGTTCCTAGAAGAAAAAAATACTCCGAAACATAGATCCAAGGATGTTTTAAAAAGACCAGATCGACTTCTGGAACGGACTTCCAAAGCCCTAACCTCGATTCTAATGAAAGTTTGGGCTCTATGCCTGAAGCAGGACAGCATGTGGTTTAATGAGTGAACTCCACCAATTCAAATTCATCTTTAAACGTCTAACAATAATATTGCATTCAAGCCCATGGAGAGTGAATGTAAGCTTTTACAGTGAATATTCATCTGAACGCATGGCGACCCTGAAGTGATCACATGTGGGACATCACAAGGCTCAATTCTTTGTACACCACATGCCTCCATAAAACAAAACACACTGTGTACATCACAAACAGGACATTTCTGAGTTGCTTACAGCAGGCCAGCTTTATGTTCAGATGATAGCGCTGTTCATGATATATAGCTAAAAATCTCTTTGACTTCTTTTTGGATCCACTGCAATACAGTAAAAGCGCCCCACTGTTGTAATAGAGCATCAGAGTCAACTTGACCCAGATGGAAAAATGTTGATAAAAAACATAATTATGTGGTCAGCACATGTGTTTCCTATTTGTTCTGTTAGTTCAAAGGCGTCTGGTTTGTATTGAGAGGCTGTAAGGCTGGTGTGCATATCTCCCTCTCCAAACAGTTCTAAATCAGTGACCGTGGAGTTTAATGAGAGTTTATGCCAGGTAAAAAAGTGATGAAGAACATAACCCGCGCACCCCTGCTGTCCTGCTAGTTCATTAGCTTGAACATGGGGCTTACAAAACTGTGTACGACACAGGTTATGATATTACACTGTAACCTCCAGTTATAAATTCTATCTGCAGCTTAGCTTTAGCACATTATTGGTGCTTTTCAAAAAGTTTTGTTTCCTGCTGCATGTTTAGTCATACTTCCCTTGCTGAAGGATGCAGATCTGAATCTTATATAAAGGCCTGTGCTGTTTCAAGCCATGTCACATTTTCAGGCCTGAGTCAAGAGGATGAGAAACAAGAAATATTTGTACAAAACTCTCAACAATATTTAGTCCACATTTTTAGAATAAAAATATGTCTGCCTTGGTCCTAAGATAACATCTAGAACAACACAAAACCTCCACAGACACTATAAAATGGGGAAATGATTGTTTGCATGTAGTCACAGATTACGTTGAGTGTGTGTTTGCCTTGGCTTTTGGTGGGCAATCAATGTGCATTGGTACTTTGGACCTTTGGAGTACTGTTACACTTTTTGTCGTCAATAGTCTTGAATGATGTGAAAAGCTGCACTGCACCACTCACATGACTGTATGCACATGGGCTGACATAGTCTGTGTGAATGGCTGCGTAAATTTGCACATTTTTATGGCATGCTCAAGGAAACACCTCTGTGTAAAGCGTCAAACACAACTTGTGCATGCATGCTGCACACATGAACTCAGCGAACCTCAGATAGCAGCGATGTCATGAGGTGCGGGTGTTTTTAAAATGTTTACTTAGTAGCTCTTGGCTACCTCAGGGTCAGTACCTCTCTCTGCACTCTGCAGGATACCTGAATCTTCACCTCAGCTGTGGACAAATGCTTTTAAATATCCAGCTTCACAAAAGTGTTCATTCATCTCAAAACCTGAAATGTATCTGCATCTAGAAACTGACGTTTTGGCCTATTTTCGTTTGCAAAATAGTTCGAGCTCAAGCAAGAGATTTTGTGGATTTTGTTTCAGTTTTCACGTCTTTGTAAGTCTGGATATGACTGAGCCAATCTAGCACAAGAATATGATTTGATGCTTTGAAATTCACACTGTATTTTTACTCATGCTAAATCACTGATTTCTGCCAGAGATCGTTGAGTCAGCTTTCTTCTTCATGTTTCTCCTCTGCTTCTCAGGTGGCTCCTGAAATCGGCTCAATAAATGGCAAAGGCAAGGAACAGATGGATGATACCTACATGGCAGCGGAGGAGGACGAGGAGGAGGATGACCACATACCTCACACTCAATCTCCCGTCATTGTCCAGCCCTTCGCCAACCACAGTGGAAAGCCAGCACTTATTAAAAGAGAGTCAGAGATGGATTTGACCAATTCTGCACTTCATCGCCACATATGCTCTTCTGTGACTCATCAGAATGGTTCTGATGGGAGTCTTACAAAGCCTAACGGTGCTAATATGACCAATGGGTCTCAGTCTGATCTGAAATCAGCATGTAAAAGGACTTCAATGGCATCGGAGCTTCAAAGGACTATTATTGCCACAATCCCAAAAGACAACTCAGAGAACGGGCCAAAGGCGTCTCCAGATGATGTGTCACTTCCACTAAAGAAGATCAAACTGGAAGAGCCGTGGCTGTGGATCACTGAGCAGACTACCACGCAGCTGACTAGGCAAGACGACGATATGTGCGAAGATCCTCTGTCGATGTTGGCAGCAGTTGTCTGCCTGTCCGTCACAGAGAGGAAGGGACTAGAGGAGAAACTTCTCGGTACACGTTCTTCCATTCTGTGCTCCATTAAGACAGAACCGCCAGATTTGCACTTTGTCAAAACAGAAAAAGATGAGTTGAAGAAAAGCACTCCTGCTAATTTGCAAAGGACTCCCCAACCCATCAAAAGTGAACCTCCTCAAAGTGTCCTGTTACCCAGTGTGCAGTCCTTGGCGGAGAGGAGAAACCTTAGTTTTGATCAGGCTATTGCTATCGAGGCCTTGACTCAATTGGCGGTAATACCACAAAGCCCCTCAGGTCCCATTAAAGCTGAAAGTAATGGTGAACACCCCATTTCCTCCAGTTCCCCAGGTTTCCACACAAATCCTGCACAGCAAGCAGCTAAACGTGCATCAGCCATCCACTACAACAAAGTCTCGGTCATCAGCTCACCGCTACACCAGACTTCAGTGATACGCCCTCCTGTGGCCAGGCAGGGGAATGTCATTCAGTGCTCCAGAAGGCTGAGCTCTGACACAAAGCCTTCTGTCGAAGAAATGCCCTCAAACTGCAGGGGGACAAACCAGAGTCAGTCTCCTTATGTCATCCATTCACAGTGTAGCTATAAGGACTCCAGCAGGGGTCATGAGCGGTTAGGAGAGGACAGGGAAAGGTGCGTCATTAAAATGAGGAGGAACAGGGACGAGGAAGAAGTGGCAGCTCAGCTGGCGGATCTGGCCTTCATCATCCAGGCGCGGCACAATCAACAGTCCGACAACGGCCCCCCTAAGGGAACACCTGTTTCAGCTATAAAGTACAACTACAAATCCCAGCAAAGCCCCTGTCAGAAAAAGCCTCCCTTAAAAAAGACCAAAACTACGCCGTCCAAGCCCAGGAAGAGGAAAAGCGATGGATTACAGGAGGGAGCGAGTCGTAGGACCGGGCAGGGTGGGGAGACGCCTCACAGGAGCCGAGGCCAGAATGGTCTCCCACACGGGAAATCGAGTCGTCAACCCAAGAACAATTTCTTTTTGCCGTTGGCTCAAATTGATTTGAAGAAATACTTGGCTGAGGCTCAAGAAGGAAGGAGGCAACTGATCCATCAAAGTAACATTCACAATACAAGTTTGTCTCAGAATCCCAACAATCTGTTCACCACGAACCACACTGGTGCTGGAGAAAACCACCAGTGGTCGCTTCCTAATGGTCTGCCTCTCCCACACAATCAATGCAATGGTTTCGTTGCGGGACCAGCAGAGAGCCACGTGTTATCTCAGGTAGCGCCGCCTGCTGGCGAGCTTCAGCACGGCACTCATCCTATCGCCAGCCCTGCAAAACCAGCTTTTACTAGCAACGTCAATGGGTTCCGTGTTCTGAGCAACGGCTTCTCAGGGCCTCCTGACTCCCCTCCTCCAAGCCAACAGAACTACTATAAGCTAGAGACGTCCGGGTCCGTCACTGTCCTGTCCACAGCGACTGACGGGGCTCACCCTGTAGAGTCCACTCCAACCAGGAATGGTGTCAACAGCTTTCTGGAGTCTCCGATGAGTTTCCTGGATACCCCCATCAAGAACCTGCTCAGTACACCTTCCAAAAAACTGGCAGATCTTCCTTCCTGTCACTGTGTGGGTGAGTTAGCTCTGCTTTGTATCATTCACAACATAATGGAACTCATTAAAGGAATAGTAAAGTTGTGGAATAAGAAGTACAACAAATTCACATTGGCCTTAAAATGTCTGTATATCACATAAGACAGGTTTAAGAATATAGGAGAACATAAATGCTCAAGGTGGCGACAATATCTGTATCAATTGCAGTTACCGACAATTTCCTGACTCATCTCTTTCTTTTTCAGTCTTTCTAATTTGCTCACTACTCTCTGTGAGGTTAAGCATTTCAGCCACTAAAAATGTCCATTTGACGTGGAAAACAAAGCCATTTAAAGACCAATCAACAGGCCAAATATATTTGGCTAGCAGAGTGCCCTACTAAATATTTCTTCCAGTCAGTTGCTTTGTGATTGCACTTTTATAAACAGTATTACTGTAGTTCAAGGGGTGTGAATTTTGCAATTTACACTTCGTCCATATTAATACTGTGTTTCTCTGCCATGTTTGGATCTGCATGAACACTTTTGAATGCTGAATTCGTGTCTTTAGCCATAAGGTGTCTGTTTTTTCCACAGACCAAGTTATTGAAAAGGAGGAAGGCCCTTACTACACTCACCTTGGGGCAGGACCCAACGTTGCCGCCGTAAGGGAAATGATGGAAAACAGGTACATTGAATTGCTTTACCGAAACTTTGAGAACCTCCCGGTCACAAGAAGTAAACAGCTATGTTACAACTACTCTGAATAAGAAGGAAGTTTGGTTAAGGTATTTTAACACTCGCTCTAAGTGTCACGCTACAACACATGTGCACAAAAACACAGAAACACACAGCGTGCTGAAACAAGAAACCGTAAAGCTGAGACCAGGGGGCCATAAGCTTAGGTGACAGCTTGTTTCAAAGGTCCTTGGCTCCATCACTGTCCAAGTTACAGCACGTTCTTACTGGAACAATAATAAATAATTACAATGTTGAGAGAATTTATAGTAGCCGATAGAGTCAGGATGCAGGGAGAGGATGTGTAAACTAATGTAAGAAGTATCAGTTTAATGAAGTGTGGTTAATGTGGTCTGACCCCCAGACGAGACCTACTGTGGCGACAAATAGAAACTATGCGAAGCCAGGTGCTAGGAATGAAAAGGTTTAATATAACCGTAATTACATTTCTTAGTTGGTTTTACTGTATTAAAATGAAATTACCATTAAAACCAAATCAGTTATCTCTGGTGTTAAAGACTCAGATGATATATTTACCTCTCAGGAGCACTGAGCGTTAAATGTTGCTGGTTTTTGGATTTTTTATTTTTTTTTAACTGCACAAAAAAGGGTTTCTGTCTTGTTTTATGATGTCTTATTTTCCTTACTTCAAAAAGGAAATAACATGACTTCTTCTCTGCAAGTAGTTGCCTATTTGCATTATGCTAAGTGAGGTTACTGTTAGCACTAAAATTACAAGCGTGGATTGTGGGTTTTGTCTGCCAACTAACTTTCTGACTAATAAAGGGCAGATTTTAAATTTGTTAATATTGGGATATTATATTACCAATATTACTACTACTAATGATCATAATAATGGTTATGATCATTACGTTTAAGCTATTGACTTCAGTCAAAGCATATTAAATATTATTCCATATCCTATTTTCAAAAAGATAAACATTGAACCTTCTTAAAAATACAGTGTTTTTTGCAATTATAAAGTTGTGTTTATTTTCTTTGATTTGCCACGTCAGACCAATAATACAGCAGCATTTTTATTTTGAAAGCTTGACCAATTAATACTCATTCAAAAATTAAAAAAAAAAAAATAGGCACATGTCACTGCCTTTCTTGGCCTCTAAATTGCTTAAAATCTTAGTTGTTAACTAGATTTTAGACAGAGATATGTGGTTCATAAATTGTTTGTTTTCAATGCCAAAAAAAAGAGTTTGAAACAAATATTCTTTACAGACTCCTACAAATAAACAGCCAGCAACTGTACTTCAAAAGTCTGGAATTAGTGTTGAATAATTTAAATCTGATTTCAAATGTTATTGATTAACAGAAATAGAGACAGAGCTGATCTCAGTTGTTCCAGATACCAAGAAAACTGTGAAATATTCATTTACTACACTTCCGAATTAGAAGCCAACTTTAGCATCGTGGAGCCTCTGGATAGAAAGACTTTAGATAAATCTTATTTTGTCAGAAATATCTAGAATTGGGGAAAAAAAGGGAAAAGCTCTAGAAATTATGTTTATGAAAAAAAATATTTAAATTTAGTGACATCTGGATATGGATTACAGGATTATACTGGGTTATTGCGTTACATGCAGAGGATGACATGTTTGTTTTTCTGCTCACAGGTATGGTGCCAAAGGAAACGCAGTGAGGGTGGAAGTTGTTGTTTACACTGGGAAAGAGGGCAAGAGCTCCCAGGGGTGTCCCATAGCTAAATGGGTGTGTGATTGCTGTGAAGCTCATAATCCCATCATTTTCTCACCTTGATTACATGTTGACGCCAGTTGTGTGTTTAAGGAAAACGGCTTCTTCCTTCTGAACCGTGATTTTGTGTGTGTGTGCGGTCTCTGCTCGCCATCTGACTTGTCACATCCCGATCCACCCACCAGGTGATCCGACGTGGGAGCGAAGAGGAGAAGTTGCTGTGCTTGGTCCGACAAAGACCGGGCCACTACTGCGACACGGCTGTGTTGGTGATCCTCATCCTGGCGTGGGAGGGAATCCCTCGAACGGTGGCGGACCACCTTTACCAAGACCTCACAGAGACTCTCTTTAAATACGGCTCCCCCACCAGTCGCCGTTGTGCCCTCAACGAAGAGTGTGTTGCTTTTTCTTTTTACCCGCTATTTTCCTGTTGAGCTGTTTCATCCCGACCATTTCTTTTCCGTCTCTGATCGAGCCTTTCTGTCCCTGCAGTCGAACGTGTGCATGCCAGGGTTTGAACCCTGACACCTGCGGAGCCTCGTTCTCCTTTGGCTGTTCCTGGAGCATGTACTTCAATGGCTGCAAGTTTGCCCGCAGCAAAGTGCCCCGCAAGTTTCGTCTGCTTGGAGACCTCCGAGAGGAGGTTAGAGGATGTTTTCATCAGTTTTTCAGTCGATTATAGCTCCTAAAATACTGCTAGAAACCGTCACTCCACTGTTTGTTGTCATAATGTGTTGTCTGTGTCATCGGTGTATGTTTGTTTGTATAATCAAATGCACTTCACTCTTTAATTTGCTATAAATGTACATAAATGTATTCCAGCATTTTGCCCCCTAGTGGCCAGCGTTGAGTATTACATTAGAAGACATAAAAAGAAAGCATCAAACAAGTCATTTTTCAGCAACCAAAGAAACAAATCCTAAATTTGTTATTTTTAGGAGGCGAAGATTGAGAGCAACCTTCAGAGTTTGGCCACTGATCTCGCTCCACTCTACAAAAAGCTGGCTCCAGTGGCATTCCAGAACCAGGTATGAAACATTGAAACTGCAGAATAATAGCTACAATTGGGGTCGCTTTGAAACTTTTGCTGACTCTGTTACTTTTATTTATTCATTCAATGTCTTCTGGACCATCATCAGTGGACTAGAGAATGTTTACATGCAGCCTTGTAATTTGCCCCAGTTTTTTTTCCGATAGCACTTTTCGAGTGTCTTATTTTCCTCCTGCCTTTCACAGGTGGAGTGCGAGGCTGCAGGGGACGCTTGCCGGCTGGGCAGGATGGAGGGTCGTCCTTTTTCAGGGGTCACAGCTTGCGTAGATTTCTGCGCTCACGCTCACAAAGACACCAGCAACATGAACAACGGCAGCACCGTGGTAAGCGCTCAGTCAGAACTGCTGGTTACTCTTAGGCAATGCTGGCTGTGCTTTACAAAAGTATTAGCATCTCTTGGACTTTTTCAATTTTTGACTAATTCAAACCACAAACTTTATTGTGTTATGTTGGTCATTTTTTGTAATAGATCAACGTGAACTACTGCGTATCTGTAAAGTGGAAGGGGACTGACTCATGGTTCCAGTTTTTCTCAACAAATAAAAATCTGAAAAGGGAGGCATGGATTCTTTTTTTTTTCAAGTGCCCCTGAATCACTACTTCCTTGAAGCAGCTATAGATAGCAAGTTTTTTTTTTTTTTTTTTTTTTGGCTAATGTCTCCATCAGCTTTGGACATGTGGAGACTGAAATATTTGCTAATTCTTCTTCTCAAATCTCAACCATATCAGGAAGGGAATGTCTGTAAATATTGCCTCTGATTCACAAATGGATCTAGATTTGAATCTTGTTTGAGGAATTAAAAAACATGAATGTACTTTTATATAGGTGGATCACAACCAGTTTTCATTGTGTCACTGGTCTGTATTTTTTCAAAAATTACAAGGAAAAAAAAGGGCTCGCTTTTTTTACAATAGCTGGTGTCCTGTAATTCAAGTTGACACCAATCATTTCACGCCTTAGAAGAAGTCAACCAGTGTCATATTTTTCAGAAAGAAATGAAACTCTTGACCTCTGCCTGGTGTGCTTTTTCAGGTTTGCACTTTAACAAAGGAAGATAACCGTGCGGTGCGGAATATACCTGAGGATGAACAGCTTCATGTGCTCCCACTGTACAAGATCTCTGACAAAGACGAGTTTGGTCAGGTTGAAGGCCAGTGGGCCAAGATCCGGAGTGGAGCTTTGCATGTTCTCTCCTCCTTCCCCAGAGAGGTAAGTGGTCAGTTAAGCTCTGCTCAAATGTTTAGGGGGAGAAAAAGTTCATTTGTATAGCATATTTCAGCAACAAGGCAGTTCAAAGTGCTTTACATCATAAAAACACAAATATACAAAGTCATAAAAGACGCCATACAGTCAACAACTGAGAAGACCAATAACACACGTTACATTTTGATGAATGCCATTATCGAAATCATCAATACACATCAAATATATTGGTCAATGTTTCATTTATTATTATTCAAAAACAATTCTAAACAGGTGGGTTTTTAGTAGGAACTCAGTGTTTCAGCTCTTTTGCAGTTTTCTGGAAACTTGATCCAGATTTGTGGTGCGTAGAAGCAGAACGGTCAACGGTCCATGTTTGGTTCCAGTCGTACTTTAACCCCTTAAATCTTTTTATATCCTGTTGCAATTTTTATCCCATGCAAATGTTGTATATTTTTGAGGAGTCCATGTAACAGAACAACATAAAGTTGCAGATAATTGTGGAGTAGTAGGGAAATGATACATGGTTTTCCCTTTTTGCAAATTAAAATTGTTTTACGCTGCACATTCCACATGTAAGCATCACTTTTAATTCATTCAGTTTAGAGCTGAAGGCGCTATGTGCAACACTGGCTTCAGATACACTCTTACATGTTTTACACTACAGCTTAGTATTGTTGTTGCGAGACTTCTGAAAACTTCTATGACTTTCAGAATGAGAAGTCTGACTTTGGGATTGGCGTTCCAGTTAATTTTCATAACTCATAATAAATCCAACTTAGATTCAGGGGCAAATTTTTTTTAATTGACTGTGAAAAATTATGTTTAAATGTTTTTTGTTTTGTTTAGTTTTTTTGTATTTATTGGGTCCATTTGTTTTCAGGTGCGCCTGCTGGCTGAGCCTGTGAAATCTGCTCGTAAGATAAGACAGGAAGCTCGTCTGAAGGCGCAGGCAGAGAAGATGGAGAAGAAGCTCGGCATGTCATCTCTCACTCCTGGGAAAGTCAAATCTGAAACCCCCAATAAAGGTAGTACGGCACATCTAATCATCCGAACGTTTTTGCTTTTGTAAGAAAATTACAATGAAAACACATGCCGTCTGTTTTCCCCAAAAAGAGCCTCAAGGCTTCTACAGCGCTTATGGAGTACCACCGAGACCCACCAGTGTTGGCAGAGCCACACCGGAGAGAAATCAAGCCGCTGCTTACAGCCACAGCGTCAGCAGCTGCTCTTCTCCGGGGGCGGGGATCGCTTCGCAGCGGGAGGTCCTCCCCTCCAGCCACCACAGCGTATCAAACCTTCAGTTTAAGCATAACGGCGTAGCTGTCGGCTACCATACTGCTGGTGCCACTATGAGTGGTTTAACTCCAGCTTCTGGTGAGCAGGGTGCTTTACTAGAACGTATACCTCCACAGAACCTCAACAACGACTTTCCCTTTAAAGCTGAGCCCAGCGAGATGCACTGCTCCGCTCTGCACAGACTGTCCCCCTCCTCTTTCTCTGCCAGACCTACCTCTGAGGGCCTCTTCGGCAGGCTCAATGGACTTCTTCGGGCTGCAGAAGATGTTGCAGGAGAGGTCAGGGGTCACGACTTCCCTCCAGGCCAGTCTCTCCCCTTACAAGCCCCGCCGCTCGAAGAACCGCAACAGGCAAAGCAGGAAGAGGTGTGGTCCGACAGCGAGCACAACTTCCTGGACGAGGACATTGGCGGCGTTGCTGTGGCGCCGTCACACGGCTCAATCCTGATTGAGTGCGCGCGCCGCGAGCTCCACGCCACCACCCCCATCCTCAAGCCGAACCGCCGCCACCCAACTCGCATCTCCTTGGTCTTCTACCAGCACAAAGCCCTGAACGAGCCAGGCCACGGGATGGCGATGTGGGACGCCAAGATGGCCAAGCGGGAGCGGGAGCGGGAGGAGGAGGCGGAGAGACTGAGGATGGAGGGAAGCGGCGATGCGGGGAAGAACAGAAAAACATCAGGGGGCGGGGAGGGAGAGGAAGACGAGGATAAAGAGACAGCGGAGGCAAGAAGGGTAATGAATGTCCCAACACGGCAGGCTTTCACTGCGCCGACAGGCGGCGTCATCACCGTGTCTCCTTATGCACTTACACATGTGACGGGCCCTTACAATCGCTGGTCTTAGTCGGCATGTTTCAACAGACTCACTTGAAACTCCTACACCGTGGTTCTGCCTTACCTCATTCACCTTCAATCGGCTACTCTCATCGTCATCGTGTCGTTTTTTTGTTTTTTTGTTTTTATTGTACTTTTCTATTGTCTGCTAACTTTGTCCTTCTTAGAGTCTGCCATCTTTGGTGATGGGAAGGATCAAAGTTTGTTGGCTTTTCAACTGTGAGTTTCGGTGCTGGTTTTTAATGTAAAGAGATGGTGCTTTGAAGCAAGATGTTTTTAAACTGGTTTTATACACATGATTTAGAACAAAAATAGATGTGATTATTTATTCTGATCATAACAATTTCTATTTAATTTCTGATATAAGCCTGTTTACTGCAAGATGTCTATGATACCCTGCTTTATATTGTACAGTAGGAGGGTACTTTGGTGCCATTCTCACTGTAACCTTGGTTTAGCAATTTTGTTACTTCACATAATTTTATTTACTACAGATTGTCACATGTAGCATTATGCGTTTTCCTTTCACTGCCTCAGTCTTCTGTTGGTGGTTTTAAAAAAAAATCACTTTTTTCTTCATTGAAATATTTTATTTCTTTAATTCACAGCTATAAATGGCATATTAAAAAGCACTTTCCCTTAACTTGAAAAACAGGGCATAAGCCTGAATTGTGTGTGCTGACAGAGATACTATACAGTAAATTTGACAGTTAAAAATTAACCATGTTTTGTTTTACAGTATTTCTGCAATAATTAGCTTTTTATTCAGTTTGAGTACACATATATTTAATGAAATTCTGTTCTCACCAAAGTAATGAATCATGAGAAACTATCGGGAGTAGGTTCTCAGTTACACCAGAGCCGGTCCAAGGCTGTGTGAGGTCCTGAACAGAGTTAGTTAGATGTGGGGACCCTTGTAGCTGTCACCACAGCTCCGCTAATCT